CAGCACTGGATGGTTTTGACCCATTTGGCCTTTATTGAATAACCCTGATAGTGTAAGCCATGTTTAATGTGATATATCAAAGTGGGAAGGACATTTCTGGGAATCAAAGATACTTTAAAATATTTCTACCTTTTCTCTTTTTTCGCAGCTCATGAGAAGTGCTAATCATTAACTAATCATATGCTCAGACCTTAAATGATTCATACAGAAGCTACATGGGTCCAGGACCCAGCTGGAAGCCTAGTCATGTAGCAAAAAACATGTAGGATACAAAGGATTACATCTGCTATGGCATAGAATTCTTGCTTCGGTGACTTCAAAGCCAGAGCTTTTCGACTGTATCATAGACCAACTTCTATTTTAAAAAGTAAATGGCATAATGTCAGGTTGCTGCACTGGGGTGGTAATGTAAGTGGCTTATACACATATATTGACAATGTTTAGTCAATCAAGTCTGTTAGAGTAAACTAATTGATTGAGAGGTCATAGAACAGCAGTGCCTGCACATGCATACACAATAGGCTAAATACCTTCATTAAATATTTTCCTTCTGTAAACTAATTCCAAGATTTTACTATTAACATGACATAAAGTCATGATTTTATTAAAGACACGGAGGCGAGTATTATGCTTCTCTTTCTTTAATTTCCCTCAGCAGCGAAGAGAGATATATGCAAAGAAGCGAGAAAATTAACATAATATTATCATATTCATAGTGCTACCAAAGGTATCCACCCCCTTTAGTATATAAGGTGTAGCACTCCCTTCCTCTTCCTCTTTCCGTAGCGATCCGAAGACCAGTCAATAATCAAAACGATGAACTTGAACCGTAACTGGAAACAAAAACCTTGGATAGCATCCATACATCCATACTTTATGGGCAAACTGTGGAATTGTCTTCCAAGACTTCAACACTTCAATAGGAGTATTCAGGCTAAAAAGAGAGGAGAAAATATGGTAATATCGTGGTTGTCACCTGATTGTAACATATACTTCAATGTAGGCAATTATTTGAGTCTGAATATATATATCCTCAACAGTCAAGACGTCATCATACATGATAAGCAAAGTTCAAACTACATCCAACATGGTAAACCAACTTACCTGATTGACTCAGGAATCTAATATGAGAAATTTAACAAGTCGGAACCACTTAGTCTTATAACTGTCTGAACTATGAATCCCAAGAGATCCACCCAGGGAGGGCGGGAGGGAATAATACTCGCCTCCGTGTCTTTAATAAAATCATGACTTTATGTCATGTTAATAGTAAAATCTTGGAATTTTATTAAAGACACGGAGGCTCCTATTATGCTCTTTTAAAGCTGAGCTATAATCCTATCTGAGAAATGTTGAATGGGTTTAAAATAAAAATTTCGGAATGTGGACTCTGTAGACCAATCTGCGGCTTTTAAGATGTCTTCCAATCGACATCCTACTACCGATGCTTTGGAGGCCATAGCGCCCCTGACAGAGTGTGGTGTGAAGACCGTGACATCTATCCCGGCTGAGGTTAACAGCCACTTGATCCAACGGGCGAGAGTAGGTGTAGTTACAGGGAGATGTGGTTTTTCTAGTGAAATGAACAAAGGGCCGTCATTAGCTGAACGTAGAGTGGAAGTGCGAGATTCGTATTCCTTCAAGCACAGTATCGGGCATAGACTCGGTTGATCCGGGATCCTCGGATAAAAAACCTGTTTAGTCGATGATTTCGTTCTCCGTGAGATATCGAAAGACACTCCCTCCGGAGTGAACACACGGGCTTGCCAGTCCAAGGCCCTTACGTCAGATACCCGCTTACAGGATAGTAAACAGAATAGCATGAGTAATTTAGCCGACAATTGTTTTAATGACAATTCTGCGTTGGAGGGCCATTCTGCTAGGAGCTTGAAAACTATGTTGACGTCCCAAAAGGATCCATATCTAGGTTTAGGCGGACGTGAGAAGCGTATACCTTTGAGCAGGCGACAGACCAATGGATTCTGCCCGATTGGTAGGCCGTCCACGAGATCATGACCAGCCGAGATGGCAGATCGAAACATGTTGACGGTACGAAAGGCTTTTCCCGATTCGAACAAGTGTGTCAGGAAATCCAGAACCGTTTTCACAGAGGTTGATACGGGATCCACCGATCTTTCCAGGCACCAATTGGCCCATGTCTTCCATGCCGCAGTATATGCACGTCGAGTTCCTGGTGCCCAAGCATTTGCCAGGAGTTGGGTAGTCGTTCTCGAAACTTCCGAGATTTCCCAAGGTCCCCGGAAAGGAGCCACGCCATCAGTCGAAGGAGTCCTTGTTCCACCATGTTGTGGTTCTCCCCCTCCGGATTGGTCAGCAGTGAGGGTTGGTCCGGTAACAGCCGTGGGCAATCGATCGCCATTTCCAGCAGGTGGGGAAACCAAGGTTGAGATCTCCAGCATGGTGTTATCAGAACCAAAGTGCTCCTGCAGCGTCGGACGTACGCCAGAGTTCGGGCAATCAGGTTGAATGGAGGGAAGGCATATGCTCGTCCCTTGGTCCAGTCCTGGAGAAAGGCATCCGTAGCCATGGCTTCTGGATCGGGTCGCCAACTGTAAAACTGAGGAAGTTGGGTGTTCAGTCTTGAAGCAAAAAGATCCACATTCAAAGGACCCCATAACTGATTGATCTTGTAGAATATCATCGGTTGAAGCCTCCAATCCCCCATGTCTCGCAGATATCGGGAGTTCCAGTCCGCGGTGTAATTGTCCAATCCCGGTATGTGTTCCGCGGTTACGGACACCTTGTTCTGCAAGCAAAATTGCCAGAAGTCTCGAGCCAAAATAGCTAAGATGCGTGACTTGGTACCTCCCAGATGGTTTATGTATCTGACTGCCGAGACGTTGTCCAACTTGAGAAGGATCGAGCATGAAATTCCCTTGGGTGAGAGGCTGCGGATGGCAAAGGAGGCTGCCAGCAGTTCCAGCGAATTTATGTGCAGAAATGATTCGTTTACCGACCATCTGCCTCCTGTGGATATAGAGCCGCAACGCGCGCCCCAGCCATGTAAGCTTGCGTCCGACTCTATCACTAGGTCCGGGGTGGAACCGAAGATTCTCGTCCGTTCCACGCTTCCATGTGAGTCAACCACCATTTCAGTTCTTCCCTGGACTCTACGTCTAAGGAGACGGTGGACTCGTATGACTGACTGTTCCTCAAGCAGGTTGCTTTCAGACGTTGAAGCGCCCGGTAGTGCAATGGTCCCGGGAAAATCGCTTGGATGGAGGCAGCTAGTAAGCCGATCATCCGTGCTAGTTGTCTCAGTGAAATGTCCGGCCGGTTCAATAACCGCCTTATTTCCTTTTTGATGATGGAAATCTTTTCTGTTGGGAGGCATAGGATTTGTTGAACAGAATCGACTCGGAATCCTAGGAATTCCATCTGCTGAGAGGGTTGTAGCAACGACTTCTCCCAATTCACCAGGAAACCGAGGTTTTGGAGGAGGTGAAGGGTCCATGACAGGTGTGTTAGTAATAGTGAGCGTGTACTCGAGAGTATGAGGATATCGTCCAGATATATAATCAGACGAACTCCGTGTAACCTGAGAAAGGCAACCACCGGTTTCAGTACTTTGGTGAAGCACCAAGGGGCGGAGGACAGTCCGAAAGGAAGGCAGGTGAAACGCCATTTCCTTGCTTCCCATCGGAATTGTAACAGATCCCTGTGATCTGCCGCTATCGGTATTGTGAGGTATGCATCCTGCAAATCGAGTTTTACCATCCAATCTCCCGGGAGGAGTAAATCTCGGAGGCAGTGAATGCCCTCCATTTTGAAGTGCCTGTACTGGACGAAGGCATTGAGGGGCCGCAGGTTGATAACCGGACGGACCCCCCCTCCTTTTTTCGGCACTAAGAATAGATTGCTTACAAAACCTGGTGTATGTAGAGGGATCTCCTCTATAGCGTTTTTGGACTGCAGTACCTTGATCTCTGCGGTTATGAGGTCGTGGTGTGACTTTGGTAAATGAGGCACGTGAGGTGGGGAGACCTGAGAGGGAAGATCTGTCAATTCTAGGTGGTAACCCATTATCGTCTGTAACACCCATACATCGGCTGTGATCAAGCGCCACGCTTGGTGGAACAACGCCAGTCTGCCCCCCACATTTATATGTGAAAATGGGGAAAAATAGCACTTACCATAAGGGCGTTTTCCTGGGGGTGTTCCTCTGCCGCCGCGGGCATGCCAAGGTCTTCCTCGAGTGGGGAAGAATGGTGTATAGGCACGCTCCTGATACGGTCTTTGGGTGTTGGAGGAGCCTCTGCCCGGTCTGGAGAAACCTCGGGAATTGCGGCCGGATAGACGGCTCCTACCTCTACCGGCCCCGCCGAAAACCTTTTGGCTAAAGACTCGTTTGATGGACGATTGAGCTTTGTCCAGGGCCGTGAAGGTCTTCACGTATGAGCCCAAATCCTTAACAAAGGACTCACCGAACAACAGTCCTTTAGCTGAAGCCCCAGGTTCAGTGGAAGCCATGCTAGCTAGCTTAGGCTCGATCTTGAGCAGGATAGCTTTCCTGCGTTCAGTAGATATGGCTGTGTTAGCGTTCCCGATCATACACACGATTCGTTGAAGCCAGCCAAATGCAACTTCAAAATCCAGGTCAGTCTCACCTGACTGGGCTGCCTCTAGTAGCTCATATAATTTAGTGACCGGGCCCAGTGTGTCCAGGAACTTGTCCTGACAGTTGCGGAGAGAATAGTCAAGTCCCCTCTTAGGCTTCCAGCCGGTTTTAGCCAGGAATTGGACTATCTGAGGGTCCACTTCAGGGGTCTTAGCCACCGCATCTGGCACAATGGGACGTGGGCATTCTGCCTTTAATTTATTGCGACCCTCTTGGGAGAGGGACTTACGCACTCTGAGTGCTAGGTACTGAGCGATATGCTCTGGGGGCTCCCATTCAGCGGAGCGTGGATGTCTTAGGTTATCCGGGTCAAATGAAAGTACCTCTTTAGCATCGTGGGTAGCGTCAGACCCGGGCGTCTCTAGCTGAGTCTCTGCATGAGCTGCCGCTGACGGGAACTGTTTCCCTTGGAGGCTCTCGCTCTCTGAAAACTCATCCTCGTAAGGATCAGAGTATTGGACATCCGACCCCTCATCCCCTTCATTGTCTGAGTCAGACATGGTATCATGGGCCCGCGCCCGTTTCCAATCTCTGGCCGCCGTAGCCCGGCCAGTAGCTCTACTGCGCGGTTGTTGCGCGCCATCACAGACAGCCTGAGGCGTGTCAATCAATGCAGGACGAACCTGCGTGGGGGGGGGTTCTTGAGGATGTTTGCGCTTGCTAAGCGCCTTGCGCCCTAGTAACGCCCCTTCAGGGGCTGCCTGCGGTACCGCAGGGGCAGAGAGAGGATGGGCCTGTCGGAGAGCCTGGGTAATAGATTGGGAAATGGTCGAGGACATGGCCCCCATGGCTGATGAGATGGCCTTGGTGATAGAGCTGGACATAGTGGCGTCCAATAGGCTCTGGAAGTCCTCCGAGCCCATGAGGCCAGGGTCAGCCTGTGGGTCAGGGCCAGATGTGCGCCCAGAGGGACTAAGGTGGCTAGGGGTAGCATCACCAGCAGACTGCATGGTGGAGACAGTGAGTGCAAGTGAGGAAAAAACAAGAAAAAGTGACAGGCAGGGTTGATTAACCCAATACAGGAGAGATAAGGCAGTAGGTCAGAGAGGACTGGTCACAGATTACCCCGTCTGAAGTAAGCAGAGGAGCAACGAAGCGTGCTGGTCAAGAGAATTCCGGTACCGCGGAAAAACTAGTTAAAATGGCCGCCGGCAGGGCCGGCGACAGAAAAACCAACAAAATGGCCGCCGCGAGCGTACCGCGCATGCGCGGCGCCCGCGATCGGCATAAACGAAAGCGAAAGTAAAAAACCGCCGCGCGGCCGAGCAGAGCCGGCGGCGTATACAAGCAGGGAGCCGGGAACCGAGCGAGGTAGCACTCTGGTAAGCCCTCGCTGCGGATTCCCGGCTAATAGAGAGGTTGGCACAGGCAAGAGAATTAGGGAGAAAAAACTCCCACCCAGAGGTGGGGAGAGGGTAAAGACCAACCTGCCTAGCAAGGCAAGGTGGGGTAGACAATACTGAAAAAGGAAATCACATAAATGCACACAGGGACAGAAACCCAGATAATAAAAGGCTAATGGGAGCAATAACAACAATAAAAATCCCTGAGTAGGGATAGTATACAAAATCCCACAATGAATAATCAAATATAATGGAGCAGAGAAAATGTACTTAGCTGGTCTGAGGGAGCAGCGAAGAAAGAGGAAGAGGAAGGGAGTGCTACACCTTATATACTAAAGGGGGTGGATACCTTTGGTAGCACTATGAATATGATAATATTATGTTAATTTTCTCGCTTCTTTGCATATATCTCTCTTCGCTGCTGAGGGAAATTAAAGAAAGAGAAGCATAATAGGAGCCTCCGTGTCTTTAATAAAATCTGTATCATTGCTTATTTATAGCATGTTGTAATAATGTAATTTGGCTGAGTACTACTACAAAACAGTATATAATTAGGATTATCCATAGCGTGTCAAATAATGAAGTTGGTCCTCAAGGCCACACTTTGGGGAGGATCACATTTTAATTGGAGTTTTCCTCCTTTGATCTGAATTCCCATGAAAACATATCTATTTGCAAAGGTATATTCAGACAAACATAAACCTCACATAGATTTGTGTCTGTTCATGCACATGCAAAGTCATATCTCATTCAATTCAATGTAAAAATATGTACATACACAATAAACCTACTGGTTTCTTCTCTTTGATAAACTGAGTAAGAACCATTCATCCAATTAAACAGTAATCATGATAATTAATAATTATAATAATTATTATTATAATCATAATAATCATAATAATGTGTGATTGCAGATGTACTTCCAGATCTGCTAAAAATTATCTTCCCACCTCTAATAGTAAATACGGATTTAACTGCATACTAGTATTCTATAATTTCAGTAGCTTTTATACATCTATATACCCTGGTAGGAAGTTCTGTTGGTTAAAAGTGAAATATAAATGGACACCTATAGTTCAAGAATTGTCATAGTTAATTAGCACAAAATTATTGGTAAACAAGAAAAGTTCAACATGTACTGTATTTAAGTTGCTCTATCTAAAACAAATAAAGATCAGTTAAATGTTTGTAATACTAATTGAAACACATATTTATAAATTGTTTATTTTAATTATTATTGCACACATGTTGTGCAGCTGCCAAACGTATTTGCTGTAGTTTGCATTGAAGTTTTTGTTTAAAATTTTGTCTTGTACTCGCTAAGGGTTATTGCTGCTTTTTATTTTATTTTAAAACCTTAATTATAAAAAAATAAATAAAAATAAACTCTGGGTTATACACTAAACTCTGACTGGGGCAAACCCATGCGGGGCTGTATGGGGCCATTCAAAATGCAAAATCCAAATAGGTCCAGGTTTTGCTAAGCAGGCCCCAAATGAACAATACAAAATGGACAAGTGAATGGCGCTTACACAATAAAAAGAGCACAAAGGTGGTGGTGGAAAAGAAAGTGTTCCCCAACACCTTAAATACAAAGTATAAAATAGAAAATATGTTGACACTGAATACACAAATGCCACAGAAATCCACACACCACTCTCTTAGTCCCAAAAAAGTGAGTGTATACAATACTTGTAAATACAGGGATATATGCTGGTAGTATTCCGTGTTCTTGAACCCTATAATAACATAGAACAGTACATAGTGTAAACTGTATATGATAATTGCAATAATAAAAAATAATGGATCCACTCACGAATTTTAGAGCCGTGCCAGGCTCTATGTTGAATGCCCAAGGGTGCCTATACAGGCTAGATGCAGAGTCTTCGCAATATCCCTCAAAGGTAGGAGAAACAGCAAAGATGATGGGGAAATGAATACATTTATTGCAGATAAAAATATATAAAAACAACTAAACAAGTTGTCTAAGAAGGTGCAAAAGGCAATACAATATATGCAAACGCGTTTCAACTCGATCAGAGTCTTCCTCAGTGCATAAAAAAGTTCATCCAGCTGATTCTTTTTAAATGTGCCGCTTGTCTGGCTGCCGGTCACATGGGCGGAAGTTCGGCTTGCCGGCGTCTGACGTCACTTCCGGTTTTTTCGGCGCTCATTTCCTCAGCTTTACTCTTCACAGATAGTTTGCCCAATTGAAGCATCAGCTTCCATTGTGCATATGGGCAACTATAGGAGACTTACAAACAACAAGTGTATATAGATATGAATATAAAAAGTACATAAGAACTTCTATAATAAAGTATGGCACATCAAAGATGTATAGCTATAGCCCATATATAAAGATTAGCAGGTGCAGGTATACAAGGCCAACTCTAAAAAAGTACATAATGAATCAAAAATATGAAAATTTAAATAAAAATAATAATAATAATAAATAGATATAAATAAAAATAAAAATGAAAATAAAAATAAAAATATAGAAATAAAAATAAATAATAAATATAAATAAAAATATAAATAAAAATGAAAATAAAAATAAAAATAAAATCAAATACACATAAATATAAATAAAAATAAAAATAATAATAATAATAAAAATAAATATAAATACAATAAAAATGAATAAATACAAATAAATAGAATAGATAATATATCATCTGACTCTAAAAAAAATATATAACAATAAAAAGAAAAAAGGTAATTTTAACTATGCACAAATTAAAGCCCTTAAGAATCTCCAACAAGACCATAATATAGTTATTAAGCCAGCTGACAAGGGTGGAGGCATCGTCGTGCCGGCAAGCCGAACTTCCGCCCATGTGACCAGCAGCCAGACAAGCGGCACATTTAAAGAGAATCAGCTGGATGAACTTTTTTATGCACTGAGGAAGACTCTGATCGAATTGAAACGCGTTTACATATATTGTATTGCCTTTTGCACCTTCTTAGACAACTTGTTTAGTTGTTTTTATATATTTTTATCTGCAATAAATTTATTCATTTCCACATCATCTTTGCTGTTTCTCCTACCTTTGAGGGATATTGCGAAGACTCTGCATCTAGCCTGTATAGGCACCCTTGGGCATTCAACATAGAGCCTGGCACGGCTCTAAAATTCGTGAGTGGATCCATTATTTATTATTATTGCAATTATCATATACAGTTTACACTATGTACTGTTCTATGTTATTATAGGGTTCAAGAACACGGAATACTACCAGCATATATCCCTGTATTTACAAGTATTGTATACACTCACTTTTTTGGGACTAAGAGAGTGGTGTGTGGATTTCTGTGGCATTTGTGTATTCAGTGTCAACATATTTTCTATTTTAGGCCCCAAATGAGCCTGAATATGGACCACATTTAAGCCAGACTGAAAACTGACAGAGGGCTAAAATCTAGTGAGTAGTGAGTTTAATACTTAAAAATAAAACTGATAATGTTCTGGGTGCATGTATAAAAGCTCAATAGTCATAAAACTCACAATAAGATACTGAATTTGTTTAATATTTGTATCCATTTATGTTAGTTGGATAGATTCGTTAACCAGTTAATAAAGATAACTAGAATTACCTTTTGAATAAGTTACAAGTTTGTAACAGATCAGGCAACAAAGATGAATTCAATTGTGGTCTTATTAATTATTTACTTGCTATCAAAATTATGTCTAAGGTATGCACTCAGCAAATTGCAAACAAATTTCATTTGTCAATTGTGTCCTAAATGGCAGCCTAGCCATGACTCTCCAAGTGTCTGAGTGCTGAATACAGAGCTCCTCGTGTTGTCAAGTAGGTGTCCAAGAAGAGAGAGGTAACTTGAGCAGCTCCTCACCCTATATTCACTGGAGGACTGAGCAAGGAGAGGCTGTGTTACAACATCACATCATACGGTGCTCTCAATACACAGTTTGGGAGAGTGCTGGAGCTGCTGGGCAGAAATGTCAACCTCCCCGGGAGGAAGACAATTGGAGGGTGGCTGACGCATACATATAAAGGGGGAAAGCAGGAGGTGTGCTGAGGCATCAGTGATCTCTGTCTTTCAAACTGTCTCTCAGAACACTCTGTACGAAAGCAGACTGTGCTTAGAGACTTTCCAAAGGCTGCAGTTGTTCTCACACCACATTATCACCACTATACCACCAGGGTGGCAGCCCAAAATAGTTATGGAAAGCTATGAATATATGTGTTTGTGTCTGATTTAGTGCACGTGTGTCTGCCTC